TATGAAGAATCTTTTTAGTTTAGAAACCGTACCCACTTAATTAGTAAAACTTTGAGATCTTTTAAAGTTGCAATAAATAGTAAGTCCTATTAAGCTCACAAATGAAAAACATGAACTCAAACAAGTGTACGTTTTATTTATTACTATTGCTCTTATGAATAATGTGATATGATTTCATTCAAACTAGCCAACTTCTCAAAATTACTACACAAACATTTTTGTAATAAGAATTTTTCGTAAATCAAATAATGAATGATTCAATTAACAATGATATTTAATTGATCCTTATTAAATATATATAGTAATCTTTTGCATACCCGCTAATGAATTAAAGAAAATCTTGTCGTTATAAATTACAAGTATTTAAAAGTAAATTTGAATTATGATCTTTGGAAATTATCAAATCTAGTAAATAACAAAGAACAAAAGTCTTGTAATGCATTAATATTAGATTTACAAAAGATGACGAGATCAAGAAATCTAGTAGAATTTATACAACAAATCAGCGAGGCAGCGATAATTCTACAGGTAATTAAAGCTTATCAATGTGTACCAAATTTATCCATTTCTAGCAAGAATGAGAATAATAAAAAGGATTTATGTTTAAACAGTTTTCAAACTATAATGCAAGAACAAAATTATTGTTCATGTGTAAATAATGAATGTCACTGCTGGTAAATATAAAATATGCAATTGAACTATGTCATGATTATATTATGTTTGTATATAGTGAAAATATGATAGTTGATATAATTAAATCACAATTTTCAATGAATAAAATTAGATGCATTAAAGAAAGCATATATTCTAATTAATCAGAAAGAAAGGTTTTGATAATACTAAATAAAATAAATTTGGAAATTTCATAACAAATCAAGGATAATATTTTGAATTTTCTTTTGTTTTAGAAATCTTGATGTAATTAAAATAAATAAATAATCAATACTTTTTAGAAATTATCATTATGATGGAGGGTAGTTTTTAATTTTGAATATATCTATCTTTAATGTCTTTCCATTGTCTCTGAAAGTCAAGAAAATTATTAAAATTGAAAAATAATGAATTGTTTCGATTAAAAGCAGTAGAATTGCCAGAATCATAAAACACATGAACCTTTTTGGGAGGTAGTTCAAAAACTTTAGATAAATGTTTAAGCATTTGAATAAAGTTATTCAAAGGAATCCTTGACGATGAAAATGTTGATGGATCCAGACCTTTTGAAATATATAATTCTACCCCATTTTCTGCTCCAATAAATTCTAATGAATGAGCTGATAAAAAAATTTTTTTGATATTATTAACATCTTTAACAATTTTGAAATAATAAATAATTAATGAATGAACTTCACTTTTTTTAAAAAAATAACTTTTATACCTGGTATAAAATCACAGTAACTTATTTGATTTTCTGGAAAATTTATTTTAACTTGTCCATCAACAGAATTCGTACGGGATATGCCATCACGTAAAACTTTTTTCAAATCTTCAATGCTCATTTGCGAAACTGTTGTAGAAGATGTATTGTACCATGAACTCTTTTCATATTGTGATTTTGAGGAAAAGCTTTGTCTCTGATGTTTATCATAATTATTATTATATGAAGCTGGTAACGGTGGAAATGCTTCTTCATATGAAGTTGTTGACACTTTTGAAAAAATTTCATTATTATTATAAGTTGAAAAATCATTTTTCGGTTCCTTTCTTGATAATATAATATCATCAAAATCATCATCATAATTATATAAATTTGTTGTTGTTCTTGGAAAAAATTCATCTTCATAAATTGAAAAAGAGCCTTTTGAATATTCTTGAGAATTCCCTATGTTTATACTGATAGGCATATAATTAGGAGCAATTTTTTGTGTTTTTCCAGAAAAATGCTTTGTTTCCGTAGCAACTTCATAATAATCTGTATCAGAAAAATTTTCTTCTTCAAATGGATTTAATTCTGAAATTTCTTCATTTTCAACAACATACAAATTGTTTTTCTTTAGATTTAATAATTGATCTACTGGAAGTCCCCTACTTCTAAGATCATCTAATGACTTTGTTAATAACGAGTCTACAAAGGCAATCATATTAAGTTGAGGTCTTTTACAAATCAACTGAGAAATTGATTTTGCAACATCATAATAATTAACCGATTCCCCTACTCTAATAAATAATTTACGTTCACATTTTGAAATACAAGAGGTGATAAAATTATCAACTTTTGTTATATTCTTTGGAGCCAAAGTATGAGTTGTTTCGATCTGATCAACCTCTAACACTTCCAATTCTCTTACCCATTGTTCATATTTATTGATATCGTTATTATTAATTTCATGATAAAATAATGGTGCACGTTCCCTAATCAAATTTTGTAATTCCGCAGATTTTTCAGTAGGTCGTAGTATCTTTCCTTTAATGTCAGATTTAGATGTAACACTGCTGGATAGTGATTGACATCCCAATTTCTTTTTTTTTTTAGGAAAAATAATATTTCATTATTAATATTAAAATACATGTATATTATATAAAATATTACCTTGTACAAACGTACTAATGATTGATCTGGGGGGCAGCTTAAAGGTTCAAAAATTTTATCATATATATCATTATCACTTATATAAATATCTTTAGAAGATGCTAGTATACATTTTCCAACTTTATTTGCATCATCATCATCATCATCATCATCATCTTTTTCCTTTTTCATGCCACTATCATTTTTCTTTATTGCTAACAAAACCTTACGTTTTTTCAAATTATTTAATACATTGTTATTCTTTTGAACCGAAGAAAATTTGTGATCGATTTTGTGTAGTATAGCAGTATACTTGTCAATACCCTGGCTTTTCAAAACTTCATGTGAAGATTCAATTAAAAGTTCAGCCAAATCAATTGGAGATGGTTCATCTTTGACACCACAATCCCGCAAAAATTTATTTGCTTTTTCACCAAAATTAATATAATCAAAATAGTCAGCAAAATCTTCATCAGAACATTTAAAAAAACAGTTTGACGGTTTAACATATTTCAATTGAGCGGACTTTTTATCACGAATTGGAATAAAATATGTTCGGTTTAAATTGCCCCAATCTGAATATATAAAGTGAAATGAAGATAAATAACCAAAAATTGATTTTGCTTTTTCTTCATCTGGTGGTTCGTTCTTTAGTTTTTCTAGTATCTGCAGCCGATCTGGATCTTTCTTTACACCAAGATCTTCAGCTCTACTTACCAAGTCTCTATGTAATACATTAAATTTCATAAACCTACACTCCGTGTTTGTGTAACATTCCGATGGTTTTGCGTAAACGTTTAGATCAGTACATGGGAGAAACGCAATATTTATTTTTTTTGCATCATAGTGTTTAGAATATTTTGTTTTAAGATTTTCAAGAAAGTAATTTAGAGCCTTTTGGCGAATTGAAAGCTCTGTGATAGGTGACGCCAGCTGAAGTATTTTACCAAGTGGAGGATATTCACATAAGCCGAGCTTTAACATAATTTTAGCTAAAGATAACATTATATTAGTTTTAATAATAAATAAATAATATAAATAAATGTATTTCAAATACCTTCCCTCGAATTCCTATTCCAATTGTCATCCCACACAATTATTGGTAATTCAAAATCACGTAATTGTGACGATGGTGCATATAATTCCCTTGCTGTAAATCTTCTATTATTGTTAGATTCCATCGGCCAAATAGACTTGGATGATAATTTTTTTATTTCTTCATCCTCATATTCATTCCGAACAAGATATTTGCTTAATTCAATTTGATTCCAACCTCCTTTTCTAACAAGTCGATCACATAAAAGATGTATTTCAACACGCTGAAAAAAAAATATTTATCCATTAATAAATCAATATCGCGAATATTATGTGCAGTAAACAAATAAATAAATAAAACCACAAGCTTTACTTTTCTAACTCCCAAATAAGAGAAAAATTCATCATCAATTCTGTCTTGACAACTAATAATAGCCAAATCTGGAAATATATCCGCCCTGGGAAAATAAGATTGATCTGGCATTTTCATACCCATTTTTGTTGGAATACAATTTTTTTTAGCCAAATATTGTCTAATATTCTTTTGATCCCGTTCAGAAATACGTCTAAATCGATGTGCAATGCTTCCAAGAATTTTTTCTGAAAACGTAGGATCTTGTTCAAATAAAGGTTTTGCAGAGATAAATCGAGCCCATGTAACCAAACTTAATTTAGACCAATCACTAACAATATAAATATTAGATCGACATTTGAAAATTATTTTAAATAAATGAATATGTATAACACTGACCTAAAATGAGCTAAAATATCTCTCTCTTTAAAGTCTTTACTTATTGAATAAGGCAAAACACTTGGAGGAACTTCTACATCAGGTGGAATAACATTTGGGTCTAAATAATGAGAAATTTTACTAAGAGGTACCTTGGTGTTTTCAACTTGTATAGTAACAAGTTTCATGAATTTCTCCAATGTGGC